TACAGAAAAAACCGATGGACGGGCCACTTCATAAAGCATCACCATAATCATAACAAGGCAACAATTATGAACGGCACAAGTGGTGGACATTATATGTAGGGGTGCCGGTTGGTTTCACCGAGGATGCCCCTGATGAAAGAGGATATGGTATGGCCTCTAATTCAATGGAAAATGGGAGATATCGATAGTAAATGCTGTAATTTAAAAAATCAATTTGAAATTTCGACCGACGGCATGCTAACTGCCATGCAAAAAAAAAATAGCAGCTAGAACTTGAATATTTTTTTATTTAATTTTGAAAAATGGAACTGAAGACTTTCTTGTACAAACATATTTAAAAAGGTGTACATAAAAAATAAAATTTTATTTGAGTTTTAAATATTTAATTGGCTGAAAACTATTTTTTTTGATATTTACAATAAATAAAATGTGATATTTTATGTTTTGAATAGGAATTTATTGACCTTTTTTAATTCACATTGTTTGGATAATATCATATTCATATTAAAAATTGTAATGCCTGCAAGCGTTTATGTGATATATTATTATATTATATGATTAAAGCCGAGTTAACAACATTGCGCCCCTCGCTTCTTCTTTTTGCTGTGTGGTGCCAATCTCTACCTAATCTTTTTAACGGAGTGAAAGTCTTCCACTTCCTCTGCTTCGACCAGACGGGACTGCATCGAAGACTTTTAAAGCTGGAGTATACGTATCCATCCGGACCCCATGACCTAGCCAGCGTAGCTGCTGCATTTGCTTCGCTGAACTATATCAATGTCGCCGTATAACGTTGCCGATGCGCAAAGCCCCATAAATCTTACGCAAAACCTTTCTCTCGAAACGCCTAACTCCGACTAATTAAATGTTGTTGTCGTACATGCTTCCGCACCATATAGCAGGACGCGAGTGATGAGGGACTTGTGGAGTTTGGTTTTTGTTCGTCGGGAAAAGACTTTACTTTTCAATTACCTAGCCAGTCCACCTGTTGGCAAGAGTGATTCTGCGCTAGATTTCGAGGCTGACATTATTGCTGGTGCAGATGCTGGTTTCTGGAAAGACGAAATTTTCTAGGACTTCGAAGTTGTGACTGTCAACAGTGACGTGGGAGCCGAGTCGAGAATGCGATGACTGTTCGATGTGACTGTGACTTTTTTGACTTATTGCTGGAGAAAGTAACACGAGAAGGTAAAACATTCTGTAAGAGCGTATGCCGATGATATTTGCATTATTACCCTCAGCAACAGTGCCGTCTGTTCTGGTTTCTCTAGACAGGATAAGGAAGCAAGGGGGTAGTGAACGAGGGCAAGACGAAATATCTCCTGTCATCAATGCCATCGCATTCGCGACTTGGCTCCCACTCACTGTTGACAGTCATAACTTTGAAGTTGTAGATAATTTCGTCTATCTAGGAACCAGCATCAGCACCAGCTATAATGTCAGCCTTAAAATCCAACGCAATTGAACAGTAAAGTTGGCTTTGAGAGCCGTCGAGTTTTGCGAACGTTTGGCAACGGCGAATACCGCATACGATGGAACGATGAGCTGTACGAGCTATATGATGATATTTACATAGTTTAGCGAATGAAGAGACAGCGGCTACGCTGGCTAGGTCATGTCTTCCGAATGGATGAAAGCAGTTCAGCTTTCAAAGTATTCGATGCAGTACCCGGCGACGGAAGCATGAGAAAAGGAATTTTCTTTGTTGGAAGGTTCAGGTAGAGAGTGACTTGGTATTTTTTTTTTGCGCTAAATAGCGCAAAAAAGGAATGATTGGTGGGCTTTAGTTTACTCGGCTATAATCGCGTAAGCGGTGCCAACGCCAACAAAGAAGAAGATGAACTTTCTGAAAACACTCACTGTAGTTAAATTGCTTGAGTGTACTTATATAAGAATATAATTAGAATAACTGCAAATGTTTTAGAGAATTTTAACCGGGGTAGTCGAGTGGTTAGCACTGCGTACTGCCATTCGAAATCTTGGTAGGACCAACATCCGAACGGTATAGAAAATTATAACAAACTCATCAGTCGTACGGAGGCGGCGTAGTATAAACCGCTAATTACTGGAAGAGCTCGTCCGAAAATCGTTTCAACGGTTACAAAGTGCCAATTTTATATATTTATAAATATATATAGTAAATGTATGTATGTATATACGTAGGTACATGTGTATATACGTACATATGTTTAAATTAAATCCCTAGGCAAAAGTTGTAATACTTCACCTCCATTTAATTTTTCCTTCTTGTATTTCGTTGTCAATGTTAATTGCTTTGCTGGATGCAAAAAAAAAATATAGATTTACTGAGGTAGCCGGCTTGAAGATCCAAAGCCTTCGTTCTCAAACAAAAGAAATAAGGAATCGATGGAATTAGTATTTTATAATAAAAATTTTATTTATTTAAATAAATTGCGTAGTTGTAAATATACTTAATAAATATACAACTTTGAAATTAGAATAATCATGCCGATATTAAGATATCTGGAAATTTGCCTGTTTGAAAATTTCCCAATGATTCGATTAGATAAATTGTTCAAAGTGACTATTATTTTAAGCGGATCACTAACTAAAATACGAAAATATGATGAAGAAAGTCTATTGGTAGTTTTCCAGCTTAAGTGTTGGTAAATATTAGTGTGACGTAAAACGTGCAAGGGCTATCAAATATTGGATATTTTTGGCTTCAGCAATATGTATATACAAGAAGTCATATAAGAGAAATTAAAATGTATCATTTGTACTTAAGAAATATATTTAAAAAAATGCTAAAATGTTATCAGTAATTTATTGGTGACTTCAAATTTGAATTCAATTCGGTCTTTTATATCTGATAAAAGTAAATACAAACGGCTGTTAATTCGCATTTGCATAGATTTTAATTCTCTAGTGTTTGAATACGCTGAGTTCTGTTAACTTCTTACATTCAAGTGAAACAGAAATTCGAGACGAGAAGGAAATAATTATTATATGAAACGAAATTTTTCTGTCAAAAATGCTAAAAATGCTGGCTTGGCACTTTCTCTATAAACTACGTTCTCTGTCAAATCCTATGACTACAATTTAAAGGGAAGTTCAGAATACCTTTCATGTACATGAAATGGTCCATCAACTATTGTAGATCCTATTCCCGTTACCTATTGTATATCATAGCCTCCATTCAACCGATTTGTTCATATATGAGGTTTTGGGTAAAAAATCTGTCAAAAAGCATCTAAGAGCATTAAATTGTAAATTCTACACAAGTATATGCAAATAAACATTGTCACAAAAAAATCTTCGTAATTCGAAAACCCACTAATTTTTCAGTTATGATAATTAATATTTCATTCTAAAATGAAATGCCATAAATTAACATGGTCATAAAAGGTATAAAAACTTCGATATGGCCAAAGATAACTCTTTTTTTTAACTCTGGAATCTAGTTGCTCCGTCCAACGGCACCTTAAATTTTTAAGCATTCTTAGTGAATCGATTACCAAGCAACGCGAGTTGACAGATTTCTATAAACATCCATACTTATAAACCTCTACGATGGGTTCATGAAGAAGCTCAGCAGAGAATGCACCGCTCAAAGGCCACAAAGAATTTTGTTGAAAAAGAAATATTCCAAGTCAAACAACAAAAATTGAAGGAGAGGCTAAAAATCCCTGCGAGAAATATACGTAGTGTTAATTAAAAATACGTTTGGGTAGGAGAGGTTACAGGTAATACACGTCTCAGAAATATATATATTTCCCCGAGGTAACTTAAAGTTTTCCAGTAATTTGTTTTAAAGTTAAAACCAGATTCCTGAGTAAAAGCTAATATAATCATCCGGAACACTTAAATATAGCATAAAATAATGACCAACAATGCTTAAAGCGATTTTATTTGTTTAATTTTTTCATAATTTTAATATTTTCCATCATTTTTACACATAAAAAATGCATTCTCACGTTCGTTTACTTTAGTAAATAAAATGACGTATAAGTGTCCGCTACAATCAGCAAAACCCATGCTGCCACAGGCAAGAGTAAGTATATATTGCAACGGAACGAATGTATATCGAATACACAATCCAATTTATATTTGATAACTGATTTACGTAAGATCAGAGTAAACCCTGCAAGGTGAGTAGCTGTGGCCTAACATATTAACAGTCTGTTTCTTTACGACGTTCATTTGATATTTGAATTGTTACTTTTTTTTCTGATTTGTAAAAAAACAACAACGATTTCGGAATGTATAGTGTTCTTAAGTAAAACACCTTTGCAAGTTAGCGGCTTTCGACCGGATTTAAAAAAATTACCCTAGGCCGGACCAACACCTGCCTCGCCTTGCACAGAATTCTTAAATGAAATACCTTTGTAAGTAAGGGGATTTCGGCCGGATTTAAGAAAATTAACCCTAGGCCGGGCAACACCGGCTACGCCTTGCACTGTATTTTTAAGTGAAACACCTTTGTAAATTCGAGGCCTTAGGCCGCATTTAACAACAAATTACTCGAAAACTATAAGTTACCTCAGGGAACGACATACATTTTTTGTGATGTGTATGGCCTCCTCTAGCCTCCTCAAAAGGAAATTTTTTTCAAAGCCTGGTGCACCCTCATGAAACCAACCCTACACTTTTTTCTTTAATTACTTTATTTTCATTAATTTTTTATAATTCATGGCATGTATTAAAAGTGATTTGTAGTCTTTTTACTTAGATAAACATGATCAGGACCAAGTTTCGTCTTATTAAAGTAGCTTTTTGTGTAGGTTAACATATTGTCAAAATTAATTTTCTCAACAAGTGAATCAGCAACATATCGAAAAGAATGTATGCATTTAGATCCCAGGAACTTATAGTTGCAGGAAGAAGTTTCCCGTGCACGATAGTTTAATATAATTTTTTACTCACTAAATATATGATAACTCATACATATTCATAACATTACAGCTACTATACATAATATGTATGTTACGTATTTACACATACATATCTGTCAATAACCATATTTTCACTTTTTGCAGAAAAATTTGTGATCCTCATTTGACTGCATTTGAGCCCGAAGCTCTAGGAAATCTTGTCGAAGGAATTGATTTCCATAAGTTTTATTTTGAAAACGGTAACTATGCGAAGATTTTATTATGTACAAAATAGTTAAATGTTTATAATCTATACTAGAGGTAATGCCAGACAATTAAATTAATTAATTCTGAAATGCATGTGAAAAAGAAAAGATCAAAAAGATGGTTTCAAAAGCCATTTCAAGTTTGTCAAAAATTGGTACTTTAATATCAGAAAGCGAAATGCAGAAATTAATTTTGTGAGGGTCGTCCAACGATGTGTAGCTATTAGTTCAAAGTCGGTATCTAGGTGGCATTTCGCCTTGAATAAAATATAGAATATTATTACCCTCGTTGACTAGATATAAATGTATTCGAGAAAATTTATCGATATTAATACTATTTTTTCGCTAAATGTTCGTTCGCGTAAAAAAAAGGTTGGCACACTTACATAGATTGCGAGAATCTGATCCGGCACGCACTTACGAGCCAGGCCGCAAGCTATGCGTCGACCTTCAGAATTCTCCTGCGAGTGTGTATTGGAATACCCGCGCAATGCATTCCGTTTCCCTAATATTTGTTAATGGAGGCACCGTTTTGGGGAACACCTCCTTTTGGAGACTTTTACCACTGGGTAGGCACACTGAATGCAACCGTGCCATCAATCCATGGCTTCAAATAATGCCGACAGATGTCGCTGCCAACGCTGGGACTTAAAGGCAGGTTAAGAAAAACAGAGAAAATTCACAAACAACCACAAAAGAAGCGGCCAGTACGCGACAGCTCCACCCCTTTCATTTTATCCCATATCCTATTAATCCCTATACGGCCTCAACTCCTTAACGTTCCAACGTTCCTTTGCCTTTCAGTCATCTGTTAGTGAGCATGTCCCCGGTGACACTCTCTTCTTAACAACAAACAGCCCTACATTTTTTGGGGCTAATTTCGCCGCTCAAAAATTCGCTGCATCTGACAGCATGAAATTTTTGCTCCAAACTTACTCTCCAGGCATGTAATGTACACCTCGTCACTTCTACTGCTTTGCAAGCTTTCCGCTCGCGTTCTCTAACCTAGCTCTAACGTTTGATTTTATCTTTTCGAGCCTGTTTGCTCGCTCCTGACAATTTAATTTCTCCCTGCTCTTGAGCTGTCTATGAAATCCCTACTGTCTTCTAGCGCCATTTCCCTACCAAAAATTACAAAATACGGCGTAGCTCCTAACACTTCGTTCTGCGCTATCCTAATACAGCATGCTACCTTCGTTAACTGCTGGCCCCATGTCTTCTGGTTACCTGATATATAAGCCCTAAGTGTTGTCTTAATTATCCTCTCGGCTGGACTAGCCAGTGGTCGATAGTGTGCGGTGTACCACAGTTCTATGCCACAGTCACCGCAGATGCCCTGAAACTCTCACACACAACCGACCGAAGAACTCAAAATAGAAGAAATACATTGTCCTCCAATTGTTTGCACACGCTTTTTGCAGTAGCAGTACGCAAAAGAAATAGGAGTTCTCGACTTAACAAACTTTAGAGGTTGCCACCTTCAACTCTCCATGCAGGATACGATAAAGGCTTTTCCTGGACTATCCGAATCATCCTTGCAAACCAAGGGTTGGTAGTAGTCACTTCAGAAATAACCGGCACATTACGGGGTGCAATATCCGGAACCACAAATTCCGTGCCTTTCCGTTGTACAATATCAAAATCATATTACTGGAGTTTCAAAGCGCATCTCGCTAACCTAGCGCACGGATCCTCTAACTTATTCAACCAAATAAGTGAATAATGATAAGTGACGACCATAAACTTAGCGCCCTCAACATATGGTCGCAGTTTCTAAACGCTCACATAACGGACGTCGAATAATTTTGCTCACCTTTGTTCAAGGAAGCTGTCATCCTCACATCGTCATCAAACACTTGCGTTATCACCGCATATACACCGAAATCAGACGCGTCTGTTTGGATTGTGAAAGGCCTATCGAAATCCGGCAACTTAAAACGGAAGCTGTTACCAAGCGCTCTTTCGCCTTCCTAAAACCCCTTTGACAATCTTCAGCCCAACTGAACTTTCAGTTCTTCTTCGTTAAGTTGGTGAAAGGCCTAACTAACTCTGCAAAATCGTTTATAAATCTGCGGTAGCACTACACTGTTCCTATAAATGACCGTACTCGTTTTACGTTCTTACGTACCTCAATTTGAAGCATCGCTTCAACCTTATCATGGTCTACGTGTATACCGTTTTTGCCCACCACGTAGCCCAAATATTTTAACTCAGAGCTATAAAAATTACACTTGTTCCTATTTAACCTAAGCTCTGCTCCAGCTTATCTATCTAAAACTTCTTATAAAATCGCTAAATAATTTTCAAAATTATCTGTGACGATAATAATATCGTCCAAAGACACAAAAACATGAGGCTCTAACTCTGGTCCTATGACCGAATCTATAAATCTCTCTAAAGTTGCTGCTGCATTATGCAAACCGTATGGCATCCACTTAAACTGAACTGAAATAGCCCTCTACTTGATACCATGGACGTTGTGAAGTGCCCCTCTACCCGAATTTGCCAATAAGCGGACTTAAAATCCAGACTGGACAGAAATTTATCTTGTTTAAGGTCGGCGACACGTATGAATTTCCGCGTCCATACGCGACTGTAGGACAAGAGACACAGGGTAATAACGCTGTTTGACAGGTTTAAGTCCTGCCTTTACTCTGATTTTGTGCTGCTCATCTGTATGGGTCCGGTGCAGCCCTTCCGGCGTAATCTAGATCGCCTTAGCCATTAAATGGCTTAATGCCTTAGATTCTATATCACCTAACTCGGTGTAGTCCACTATTGCCACTAATAGTTTCTGGCCGAGGACACGACTAATTCATTTTCGATGCATCCGGGATAATAACCACCTTGACCTAAAAACCGATGCTAAGGGAACCTGATTGCCTGATTGGCAACAAAACCGAACCTAGCACCGAGATATGACCTCCATCTGCGAGAGACATTCTCAAAATAATCGAAGACGACGACGCCTGATTGGCAACAAAACCGAACCTAGCACCGAGATATGACCTCCATCTGCGAGAGACATTCTCAAAATAATCGAAGGCGACGACGCCCAAATATCATACGAACCTAATTTCTGCCGACCTTATCAGCCTTTTCTGGTCGCACCAGAATCCAAAAATGCCTTTAAAGATAAATAATGCATCCTAACATCCAAATAAGGGCGTTCGGCGTGACCGTCCGTCACCAATGAAAACGCCAGCCTAACTTCTTCAAAATCAACGCCTACATTTGTCAGCCTCGCGTTTGCAGGGTTACTTACTCAGCGTACTAGACCGCCTGATCTGCTGTCTCGTTTCCCGATCTGTTGTCCGACCTGAAAACCCTATCGGTTGACTGAAAACACCGATGACCTCACTGCCTCTAGTTGCCTACCGAAATCAACTAGTTCCAAAATCGACCGATCCCAACTGGGTCTGGTAAAATGGTAGGAGATTCGCCTTAACCAAACTTAATATCCTCTTTTCCGATAAAGGCTTCTTAAGCCTACCAAACATTATTTCCATCGCCGCTACATAAACACCGATGGACTCCTTCGCTCCCTGAATCCTTCGCCGAATCTCGTCTAATTGCTCCCAACTACCTAATGTCTTCCTAACAAACCTGGACCATAATAGTGCCTTTCCACAAAATAAATCCACCGCGCCTCGGGTAAGTTGGGCTTGGGTTACAACGGGCGCATAACTCAATTTTTCTCCGTCCTAAAAACACGAAAAGCGACATACCAACTTGGCAACATCGAAGTAGACGTCCTAGTTTGATAAGTTGTCCGGTTTCTGAGGCCCGACTGTCTTTTCAACCACTCATCGTCTTTTCACGGCCGGGGGTGCTATCATGAACGCACAAGTGACACCCGAGCGCTCTACCGACTACCCCTTGTAGTTCGGCCAGATGGAACAACAACTTGGTCTTCAGTCCATCTGCCCGTCCTATTCGCGAAAGACACCATTCGATTTTCGCCATCGCTTTCGCTCCATGCGATGGCTTTCCTCCATCCATGACCAATACTATTAACTTCTCTACTTCCTCCAGTTTCGGCTCTACCGACGCCTTACCCTCATTGAAACTAAAGGGTTGGTCCTGAAAGAAGTTTACTGACCCTCTTTTCTCTAATAAACTCGTCGCCCTAATCGATTTCCTCATGGCTTCGACCGTACCGATTGGAAAGCCCCGTTTCTCAAACAACCGATTAGTTATCATAAAAAATTAAAAAAAAAAAACACAAACACAGTAAAATAAAAATATTGACTTAAAAAAATTTATTGCAATAAAAATAAAGAAAGCTATTGCCTAAACGTGATAAACGCATTGCCCTGTACTGGCTCAACAAAATAACCCTAACACGTAAACAACAAAAGAGCCTAACCACACAAACCAAAAAAATCAATATCATTAATATAGCAAAAATTAAAAAAATTAAAACAAAATTATCTAATTAACACAAAAAAACTAAAAACCTCAATCTAAATTTGATAGGACTACTACTGGCTCCTTCTGGCCAGTCTCTACCCACTTGACGAGCACTTTTTACAACGTGGGTAAATGCTCCAATACAATTTACTGCAACAAACAAAAAATAAAAATTGCAAGCCGGAACGGACTTAACAAATTCCTTTATACTATAAAAATACTAATTACAATTTTTCGAAATAACTATTATGACGGCCAGGACGGTTTTGCTGTGTGTTTGGTGGGATTGGCAAGGAATCTGGGGTTTGGATGGGAGGTCCTAATGCACCCACCTTATAGTCCGGACCTGGCACCAAGTGATTACCATCTTTTCCTGTCCATGGCGAACACGCTTAATGGTGAGAAGTTGGCCTCAAGAGAGGCCTATGGAAATTGGCTCTCCGAGCTTTTTGCCAATAGAGACGCCGTTTTCTACGAGAGTGGTAGAGTTTGCATCTAGTTAGCAACAAGTTTACGAACAAATCGACGCATATTTGATTTAAATCGGACAAATGTACACAAAGTTATCATATTTTGAAAAA